TTTTTTTTGGAGATAGAACACAAGAATTGGCATAGTGTGATTACACCTTTGCTCACTGTGAACACTTGAATAACCGGAATCATTCACGTGACATCTTTCATTTGTAATGCAATGAGCAATAAAGACTTGTAGATTGTGTACCACTCTACTTGTGAAATTCTTGGCATTTTGGTTGTCTTTTGGGTCTATTTACTTGACACAAAGTTTAGCATTTTTAAACTCTTGAATGCTTGTAACCTAATGATCTACTTATAGTGTGCTCATAACAAGGTCTGAATGCTTCTAAACTTATTAAACTAAAGGGTCCTGATGATTACAATTTATCAATGTTTATAGAGTATATTCCAATGCATCTCATCCTGATTATGATATGTCGTGTTAAATAGAACAATATTTCAGCAAAGGACATGTCCTTTTTTTTGTATTTCACAAGTACGTGATTACCATATAAACTGAAATTCTTGGCATTTTGGTTGTCTTTTGGGTCTATTTACTTGACACAAAGTTTAGCATTTTTAAACTCTTGAATGCTTGTAACCTAATGATCTACTTATAGTGTGCTCATAACAAGGTCTGAATGCTTCTAAACTTATTAAACTAAAGGGTCCTGATGATTACAATTTATCAATGTTTATAGAGTATATTCCAATGCATCTCATCCTGATTATGATATGTCGTGTTAAATAGAACAATATTTCAGCAAAGGACATGTCTTTTTTTTTGTATTGGTAGCATACATACTGCTTTTTTTTGGAGATAGAACACAAGAATTGGCTTAGTGTGATTACACCTTTGCTCACTGTGAACACTTGAATAACCGGAATCATTCACGTGACATCTTTCATTTCTAATGCAATGAGCAATAAAGACTTGTAGATTGTGTACCACTCTACTTGTGAAATTCTTGGCATTTTGGTTGTCTTTTGGGTCTATTTACTTGGCACAAAGTTTAGCATTTTTAAACTCTTGAATGCTTGTAACCTAATGATCTACTTATAGTATGCTCATAACAAGGTCTGAATGCTTCTAAACTTATTAAACTAAAGGGTCCTGATGATTACAATTTATCAATGTTTATAGAGTATATTCCAATGCATCTCATCCTATTTATGATATGTCATGTTAAATAGAACAATATTTCAGCAAAGGACATGTCCTTTTTTTTGTATTTCACAAGTACGTGATTACCATATAAACTGAAATTCTTGGCATTTTGGTTGTCTTTTGGATCTATTTATTTGACACGAAGTTTAGCATTTTTAAACTCTTGAATGCTTGTAACCTAATGATCTACTTATAGTGTGCTCATAACAAGGTCTGAATGCTTCTAAA